CACATTAAGATAAAAAAACAAACAAAAAAACAATAGACTAAAAAATTTTTATTGTAAGTTGACCATACTTGCAGTAATGCATTAACTAATTATAATGAACTGAACCTTGTTTTATGTGTTTCCATGTAAAATCAGATTTTTAGCATTCATGTCTAATGGCATCTATCAACTAAAAACCTAATTTGTTATACAGTTTTGCTATGCTAATTAACACATTATCTATGCTAATTCAATTAATTAATTTATTTATTTATTTCCGGTTTATTTGACAGGGAAAATGCACATCAACAATACATAAATGCACAATGTCCCAGAATTAGCCAGAAGGCTATTTTGCATCTGCAGTCAAATTTGTAATATCAGTTGGGATGGAGTTCCACTCACGAGCAGCCCTAACTGAAAACACTGTTTGACTAAATGCACTTTTTCTTAAAGGGACTATACAATCACCTCTTACTGCACTTCTCGTTAATCTGTAACCAGATGGTGCTACGTTTACAAACTGATTCAATACAGGAGGAGCCAGTCCATGTCTGATTTTATACATAAGACAAAGATCTGTATATATAATAAAATTTTCCCAATTTAAAATATTGCATTTTTTTTAAATATCACAGTGATGATGGTATATGGATTTCTTATCAAAAACGTTCAAGGTTTGTTTATATAAAGAGATAATTGGTTTGAGAGAAGCATTATTTACTTGTGACCAGGTTGTCAAACAATAAGTGATATGTGAGAAGATCATCGAATGCATACACATCTTCGCAGCCTTAGTTGACATGCAGCTACGGGCATATCTAAAATTTGCCAAATTGAACTTAATATGATTGCAAACCTTCTTAATGTGCGTTTTAAAAGTAAGATTGCTATCCATTATATACACCCAGATATTTAAAATCTGAGACAACTTGTAGTCTCTCCCCATCTATGACTACATCTGACTCCGCACGGCAACTTTTAGTTTTACTGAAAAACATACATACAGTTTTTGACACATTTAGTTGTAAACAATTATGTTTTAGCCATTCCGTGATCTTTAACATTGAACTTGTTAGCTGATCAGCAGCTTGAGCTGCACTATTAGCATGTACAAAAACTACTGTATCATCAGCATACATCTGGATGTTAGAATCTAAACAAAAATTTGGCAAATCATTCACATACAAAGAAAATAAAAGTGGGCCCAAGATTGAACCTTGCGGGACACCTGCTGACAAAGAAACAACACCTGATTGATAATTCTTCACTCTAACCAACTGAGACCGATGTATTAAATATGATTCTACCCATTTAAGGGAAAAATTAAATGTATTTAATGCTACTGTATTATGATGCTACGCAACTTAATTTAGCTAGATAGAACCCAAATGGAGAGACATGTGTGATCACATGATAATTTAACATCCAAATAGGAAACAGGAACTAGTGGCCATAAAAGGACAATAAGAAAACTCTCCAAATACTAATGTTTCATCAGTACTGCTCCTAGTCCTTACACAGAGACTGATGGAACTGACATTGGGATTTATTAGGAGAAATGACTGAAAAGAGTACAATCTGAGAGAAAAAAATACAGCGTCTCAGATATAGAAGATTGCTATCAATATATACACCCAGATATTTAAAATCTGAGACAACTTGTAGTCTCTCCCCATCTATGACTACATCTGACTCCGCACGGCAACTTTTAGTTTTACTGAAAAACATACATACAGTTTTTGACACATTTAGTTGCACACAATTATGTTTTAACCATTCCGTGATCTTTAACATTGAACTTGTTAGCTGATCAGCAGCTTGAGCTGCACTATTAGCATGTACAAAAACTACTGTATCATCAGCATACATCTGGATGTTAGAATCTAAACAAAAATTTGGCAAATCATTCACATACAAAGAAAATAAAAAGTGGGCCCAAGATTGAACCTTGCGGGACACCTGCTAACAAAGAAACAACACATGATTGATAATTCTTCACTCTAACCAACTGAGACCGATGTATTAAATATGATTCTACCCATTTAAGGGAAAAATTAAATGTATTTAATGCTACTGTATTATGATGCTACGCAACTTAATTTAGCTAGATAGAACCCAAATGGAGAGACATGTGTGATCACATGATAATTTAACATCCAAATAGGAAACAGGAACTAGTGGCCATAAAAGGACAATAAGAAAACTCTCCAAATACTAATGTTTCATCAGTACTGCTCCTAGTCCTTACACAGAGACTGATGGAACTGACATTGGGATTTATTAGGAGAAATGACTGAAAAGAGTACAATCTGAGAGAAAAAAATACAGCGTCTCAGATATAGAAGAATCAGATACATAGACAAATAGGACTTTTTCAGTTTTCAATCTGGTTCTGCGAAAGGTCTCAGAAGATTCACATGCAAAATTCATACTGTGTTCATTTGAAGTCCTGCAGCAAACCAAACCCTATCTTCCTTATTTTCAACATAAGACTGCATGGGTGCAGTGGTATTTATCATCTTAATTTTAATTTATTGTCATAATCATAAACACACTGGATTGTATCACAAATAGTCTTATGGTTTACTGCACTTTGTTATTCCTCTAGTTATTTTCATAGCAGCTAATGAATCAGAGGTCTCACGCCTTTACAGAAAATAGCTTACTTACACATTGCAAAATAAGGTATGGTGTTCAGTCTCAGACAACTGCAGTTTAGCTGGAGTCAGTAAACTAGTCCTTATCAAGCAGAACTCTATTCCACCAGTTTGTCTGAAATAATCAGTATTTTTTGTGATGTGAGTCTGTCACGCCACTCTTACTCCATTGGTCTCTATTATCGCAGTAACTGATTTCAGATAATCCCAGCCCTAAACAGACTTTGAAAACAAATTGGTTGCTTTACATGTCAATCAGATGGTCACTTCCAATCAAGCAAATGCAAATCTCATGAGAGTTTAGCACAATCTCTCTGTTATTTATCTAGACACTCAAAATTCCTCCAGGTCAATGTGAGAAGAGCCTGCGATCTCTAATTCTGTGACAGACAGAAACGCTCCTCTCTGTGCCACCTGAAAGAGAGAATAGGTAGAAAGATATGACAACAGAACAAAGATGCAAATATGAGTGTTAAACAAGTCACATAAAGTAGATTTAGGACACACTTTAAAAAAAGATTGTTAAATATGTTGCTCATACTGTATTTTAATTAATCTGAATAATGAAACCATTCTAGCTTTCAATACCCCTTGATCACTGGTTCAGTTATTGTTGTGTTTTCAATTTTATAGTCGTTTTATTTATTATTTTTTCTAAGTTTTTATTCTATTCTGTACAGCACTTTGGTCAACTTCGGTTGTTTTTTAAATGTGCTTTATAAATAAATATCGTATTGTATTGTTAATACTAACATGTTCTTCTCAGTGATGTTGTCTGTGCTGTAAGGAATGGGAAATAATTTTTAAAGGGGTCATGACATGAGAAACCAAATTTGCCTTGATCTTTTGACATAGAACAGGTCTTTGTATGCTTAATACATCCTGCAAGTTTCATAACTTAAAATGTACTCATCATCAATAAAAAAGCATTTATGTAATAGCACTCAGAAAACTTCTCGTTTTGGACAAGATTACGTCACCTGGCACAGTCGTTTGCATATGACCGCCTCCAGCGCAAGACAACTACACCTAGGATTCGAATAGAGCACGTGTTGTATTTTACAGTAGTACTAATAAAGAAAACGCAGCAGTGACAAGTGTGCAGCAACCTCAACACTTCTTCCTTTTTATTTCTTCCCTTTTCCACCTCCAGGTTATGAGTGACACCTAGTAGCAGCATGTTAACATAACATAACACATGTTAACGTAACATTTTAAGATAACACAAACAGCACGCATTTCTTAATTACTCACTGTTCATCATAGGGCAAAGAGAATCTGAAAACTGTGCACAGTGTGGCCTGCCAATGACACCAAACAGACATGAAATACAGCTCATCCGGTCTCATAACTGTCAAAAATAAATATACTGTACATGTGAAAATAAGCAATGAGAAAATACAGAGACAGAAACACAACGAATACCATGTGCTCCTAATGCACTCGACAGTGCGTTCAGAATAAAACATCAATTATCCGTCAACTCTATATCTCTTATGACTCAAATATGAAATAAAACACTTTTAAAATAACAATTTTGACCTCAAAGAGAAATAAAATCATCTCTGACAACATTTTATTTCTGTTCGACCGGAGAGAGATTTTACACAGCTTTCATGCGACTGAGGAGAAAATGGCCGACTCCACTAATAGGTTACCTTAATCACCTGTATGTGTCCCCATATCCCTTTCTTTTAGATGCACTTAATACATTCTATTCAATTAATATCTTAGAATTATTTTGCAATATGAACAATCATTTTGGCACAATTCATTACAAGTTTCTTTTCCCCGTTACACCTTGCTCAAGGACACCTAAGTCGTGATATTGAAGGTGGGAGACACACACATATATATATATATATATATATATAAATACCTTGCTTGCTACGTGCACTGCGTTAGGCTAACCGAGACTTGTCATTTACACTTATTTTGCACCTATTGCTCTTTTGTTAGTTTTGACTGCTTTTATTGTCCTCATTTGTAAGTCGCTTTGGATAAAAGCGTCTGCTAAATGACTAAATGTAAATGTAAGTTAAATGAAATGTGGACGATGCTAACTGTGACAAGGTGATTGTCAGGCAAGTTTACAGTGACAGGATGCGTATAATTATGCGACAGAGCGGTCCGTTAAAAACGCAATTGTATGATGTGATATATGTCCTAAAGCTTGCGTGCTCTTCTACTGCACACTCAAAAGTGTGTACTTTTTCTTCACAAAAAGAGTACATACTTTAAGGGCGTACTTAGTATAAGTAGGCACATTGGGATGCAGCATATGGCGATTTTTGCATCATCGCATCGCTGTCACACCAGGTGTTCAGTCCATAGTCAGTCGACGTGCAGCGTGGGTCTGAAGGTGTATTTTTTTACAATAAGATTGCGATGCCAGGCAGACGATGTGCCGGTCCTGGCTGTGAGAAAACAACATATTTGTATAAGCTGCCGAAGGATCCCGATGTCAGAGGAACGAACATCCCAGTCACGTCAGTGCTAATTTACGCATGTGTTCAGTACATTTCACCATTTTGAGAACAAATCACAGTATGATACTGGCTTTGCCTAAATACTTTTGCTCAAAGATCAGGCCTTGCCAACTGTTCTGGACCCAAGTCACCCAACAACAACGCCGCAAACTGTAAGTAACGTATTTCAAGTGAAAAATATTTTTAAAACAGTAATGGCGGTAATGGATGTTAGCCATTAGCCATCATAAAAGTGGGCGGTTACACTGACCTCTTAAAGGGAAAACACCCCAAAACAAACTGTTTCAGTCAGAGGATGAGAAACAGGGTGGGAAAAGGCCATAAATCACTCAATTTTGAATGTTCTTCATCCAAAAAAAACTTTAGTAATATTATAATTACACCTCAGGGAACATAATAAAATAATAATAAAAAACATGTCATGACCCCTTTAATAAAAGTTAAAATGATGTATTTGGTTTTAGACAGTACCACATACAAAAATAGAACAAAAAAATGTTCAGAAAGACAATAAATTCAACTCTATCATGCAGATAAACAAATATAAACATCTAATAAATCCCATGACAGAAAACGTAAATCTGAATTATTTAAAAAAAGGTACTAACCTAATTCTCACAAATCCTTCAGTGGTCATAACTTCGGTCAAATAAAAATTAAGAAAAGATTACAATTATGACTTAATGTCATAACCTCCAGTAAGAGTCTGTATTACCTGGTTTTGGTTCAGTGACGGTGTGAGCAAAAACATGTGGATCTTCTAGAGTGACACCAGGAACTGAAAAGATGTGAATCTATTTGAGTCATTTTCTCTTAATGGTCCAGCAAGAAACACTGTGAAGATCTTATTAGTGATTGAGTTTTACCAGAGACATTAAGTTGAACAGGAGCCTGCAGATCTCCTACAGAGCAGAAGTACCAGCCAGAATCAGTCAGTCTCAGTCCAGTCATCGGCACAGTGAAGGATCTTCTCCCATCATCACTGATCTGGACTGATGAATTCTGGGATGTGTTAGTCCTCCCCACAGTGTAACAGCTCTGATCTTCATATCTGCACCACTGTTTGAGTTTATCCTTATATCCAGAACTATAGAAACACTGAACACTGATATCACCACCTTCATGTCCAGATACACTGCTGCTCACCACAGACACATCAGGAGCTGAACACACACACACACACACCAGTCATTTAGGATTGTGATTTCTGAGGAATTAGTCGAATTTTTCAACTGAGTGTGAAACACGTCTCATACCTGATTGAACTGTCAGATGAAGCTGCTCTTTCTCATCTAGTTGAAATATTCCTCCAATCTCCACAACACACCAATAAGTTCCAGTGTCTTCATACTGCAGGTTTCTCATAGTCACAGTAAAGAAACTCTGATCTGGATGATCAATTACTGACACTTTTCCTTTGGTTTCATTAGCATATGCCAGAATACTGCAGTAATTGTATGCTGACCCGGCATCAAAGCACCAGTATTTTTTGTGATCAGTGTATTTCCTGTTATAATAACATGGAATAATGAGCGATCCTCCAGTCTGAGCCGTTAACAGTCTGCTTACAGATCCATTTTCACACTCAATACCTGGGTGAAGAAAAGTTAAAAAAGAAAAATTAAACATGAATAAACGTAATAGAGTCATTGTAACTTGTTTATACTTTTTGACAAAGCTAATGACAGGATGATGTTAAGGTTATGTTGGTATAATTATATTTCTAAAACACATTTATGAAGAATATGAATATAGAAAAAATAGCAATAAATAAAAAACAGAAAGAGAAAACACTTGCCTGTTATAAGCCAAAGAAAAATAAAAATGAACTGCATGGTTTGTTTGTGAAAGCGTTGTGATAATGTTTCTTCTCTGCACATTTCTGTGCTGTTTTGGTCCGTCAACTTCCTCTTGTATTCTATGAATCACACCACACAGAGGAAAGGAAACGGTCTGAGCTCTCTGCACAATCCAGTCTATTTGTAACTTCTGTAGGGCATTTTATATATATTTACATTGCATATGCATACAGCTGTGGAGTGGAGCCTGGAAACTCATTCCACCAGAGAGCTTATATGTAGCCAAGTGAAGAAAATTAACAAAACTTACCGTTGAGCCTAAATTGGTTGTGGGTTCTTTAAAAAACTGTGTTTGCAACAGTTGCTTTGCAGCGCTCCAGCATGTAACATATGTGAGCGGATTTCAGTGTGAGCAGAGCAACGAACGCAAACTAGTGCTCTGGGTTTGGTGCCATTATTCTGACTTTGGCTAGGTAAATGTACATTCTTACAGAAGTTGTGAACGAATTGCATAAAATGTGTATGTGAGCATAGTATGTTAATAATGAATGTTTCATGGACGTTTATGGATTGCATCATGTGTGAGGTGGATCGGGTTTGATCACGTTTTGGGACACGTGCAAGGACTGGGTATGCACAATGAATGTTAAAGGGGTCCTATTATGCTTTTTCACTTTTTCAACTTTAGGTAGTCTGTAATGTTGCTGTTTGAGCATTAGAAAGATCTGCAAAGTTACAAAGCTCAAAGTCCACTTCAAAAGGAGTTATTTTATTCAACAGAAATCACTTTTCTAAAACTACAACGAACGACTCGTTTGGACTACAACGCATATTTTCCGGGATTTGTGATATCACAAATACCGACGAATGGGACGAGACCTGGTTGAGCTGCACTAGAGAAGGGAACGAGTGTTATCACTATGTCGGAGACACGCTAGCTTTCCCAAGGCAGACGAACTTAGAGTGGTTACAATCATCCGGGTTTAAATTGCGTTCAAATTTATTTGATATTGACGCAATATTTACACTGAAGCTCGGAGCAGGCGGCGGCTGTGGTAAGGGGCATGACATTTCCCGACCAGGCGCCGAGTGCTGCCAATCACAACACACACTGCCCCAGCTAACCAATCACAGCACACACTGGCCCAGCTAACCAATCACAGAACATTTCGTATTTCAGAAGGTGGGCCTTCATTTGATACAGGAACTATTCGAGCCGTTCGTGCCAGACTGGGGAGAGAGGTGTTGTAATAATGTAAAATATGTGAAAAATAATGTTTTTCGAACAACCTAGTATGAGAGCCTGCTCTAGTACACCTCCAAAACAAAATCAAGACTTTCTAAAAGAGCATAATAGGACCCCTTTAAATGTGCTGTATGTAGGATTGACACTCAGTGGTTGAACTAGGTATTGCAGTTCAAATTCAAAATATTGGAGAAGGTTTTTTTCACCCGGCCCCTCCTCTTCAGACTTGATGCACATGCAGGTTGCCAGATTGACAACAGGAACGAGCGCACATGACGATGAATGAAATGAAATACGCTGTGTTTTCCGCCAAATGGCAACCCGGGGTGCCGAAATTCAGTCATTCAGTCACGCATGCGCCACATCCTATAGGTTCTGTACTGGAATTAGTCAAGTAGTTCACCGAGTTTTCGAGTCTTCAGGTTTTTCGAGTGGTTCGTTCATCATGTGACAGACCCATAAATTTATGCAGTCTGAGCTGGAAAGAGAATTGATTCGTTCATCTCTCGAGTCTTCGGGTTTGAGTCATTCGTTCATCATGTGACATCCCCATAAGCTTAACCAATGCAGTCTGAGCCGGAAAGAGAATTGATTAGTTAATCTCTGGAGTCTTACTCCCGTACTTATGGGAGTAAGTCTCAGTACTTACTCCCATCGATCGAATAAAACCCCTAAAATATATATTTTTTTGTATCCTGTGCTGCTTCCTTACAACCCATTGGCCACATATGTCGTAAAATGTATATGTTTTTAATTGCATACTTTACAAATATTTACACATATCTATTTTAGAGTATTTTTTTGAGTATATATATTTATTTACATTTATCAGACACTTTTATCCAAAGCGACTTACAGATGAGAAAGATGGCTAAGGACTCAGCTGCTCGGATTGAGTTGGACAGGTCATTCCACCAGGAAGGAACATTTAATTTAAAAGTCCGTAAAAGTGATTTCGTGCTTCTCTGGGATGGCACAATAAAGCGACGTTCACTTGCAGAATGCAAGCTTCTAGAGGGCACATAACTCTGAAGTAATGAATTTAGGTAAAGGGGTGCAGAGCCAGGGGTGGTTTTGTAGGCAAACATCAATGCCTTGAATTTTATGTGAGCAGCTATAGGTAGCCAGTGCAAATTGATGAACAGAGGTGTAACGTGCATTCTTTTTGGCTCATTAAAAATGTATCTTCTGGATTAATTGTAAAGGTTTGATAGAAGTGGCTGGAAGACCTGCCAAGAGAGCATTGCAATAGTCCAGCCTGGATAGAACAAGAGCTTGAAGTAGTTGTGACGCATGTTCCGAAAGAAAGGGCCTGATCTTCTTGATGTTGAATAAAGCAAATCTGACAGAAAATCGGACAGTATTAGCAATGTGGTCTGAGAAAGTAAGCTGATCATCAATCATAACTCCAAGGTTTCTGGCTGTTTTTGAAGGAATTATGGTTGATGTGCCTAACTGGTTGGTGAAATTGTGATGAAACGATGGGTTTGCTGGAACCACAAGCAGTTCTGTCAGGGCAAGGTTGAGTTGAAGGTGATGGTCCTTCATCCAGCAAGAAATGTCTGTTAGACAAGCTGAGATGCGAGCAGCTATCGTCGGATCATCAGGATGGAATGAG